ATTAAATAAGTAAATAAATAAAACAAAATAATTGATTAATTAGATAAACAAACAAACAAATAAACAAGCAAGCAAGTAAGCAAGCAATTATAATATATATATGTTTTTTTGAATCTCATTGATAAAAAAACTTATACAGCAATAGAAAATAAATGAAACAGATCTATTTTCAATCTTTAAGGGATCAGTTCATCAATAAATACTTATCATTATCAATTAGAACAATCACCAATAATAGAGAAGAATTATAAGAGAAAGAGGAAGAAAAAGAGAGAGAGAGGGAGAAAAAAAAGATAAAATTTAATGATAACACAAGATTTCATTAATTAGGAAATATTTTTTCGGTTGCCAACAAAAAAAGAAAGTTCTGATGAAAGAACTGAAAGCAAGCAACAAATTGTACCCAAACGTTAACAATCATTTCATAATAAAAGTGCAGCAAGGAAAAAAGAAATTGAAGAAAAGTGGAATGAATTAAAAAGAAAGAAAGAATGAGGAAAAAGGAATGTTTTATTTCATTTATTTAATCAAATATAAAGAAAAGGAATAAAAAGAGAGACAGAGGGAAAGAGAGAGAGAGAGAGAGAAAGATAAAAAGAAGAAAGTAGTATTCTTTTACAACAAAAAAATGATAAATAAAAAAGAAGAAAGAGAAAGTATTTTAGTATTTTTCGATTATCGGCCAAACTGTCATTCGATAATATTATTGTCATTTAACAACAATCAAATCAATTTATTCTTTTCCATTTATTACTGGCTTATTGGTATTATACATAATTATTATCTGAAGTCCATATTCGATATACATATTGACACGATCATATCACCGTTATCATTATCACATTAAATTATATTGAATTCGACAATTGTTTCACTTGGAATTGAAATATTCATATGCAATAAGTTTTAATAAAATTTATTGTTGATTTGAAGAAATTATTTTTGATTTAAATAAATTACTATTACTACTATATTATTCAATTGCTTATCATTATTACAGTTACTTTTGTTACGACAAATTATTGTTACTATTGTTAGGTTACTTCTACCTCTACAGAAGCAATTTCACTTTTTTTTTCCTACCAAATCATCCCGAAGTATTAAGTGGATATATATATATATATATAAGCACATATGTAAATGCTGATTTGACAAATATTATGAATAGCAACAAATCGCCAGTATCGGACATAAACGAAGTTCGTTTTTTTTTTTGTATTTTATTCAATTCTTCCATTTTTATCTTTAATTTAATTGTAACAACATTTAGTTACCAATTATTCTAACATTTTCTGTAGTTTTTTCTTGTAGTTTTATGTAGCAGAGAAAATATGAGTTTGAGTTTAAATTAAGGATAGGCATTATATTGATTTCCAGATAATAAATATTTAAATTACACTTCAAAATTCACATATTCTTTCGGGTACTTTTTTTTCTTAGACAAGAATTGAGAACGTATGTGAAGAACAATGATAAAAGTGATCAATTAGATGCATTGCGTCAGATGCTTCCAAAAAAATCTTAAATTTAAACCATCATTTTGAGATTTTGTAGCATAAACTCTCATTATTTTATATATCATTATTATAATTGTTAGAGTGATAAGGAAAAATTTTACGAATTTAATAACTGCAACTATAATTATTAGATTAGTAAAATTAAAAGCATTATTGTGAATATTTCGATAGTGCTCAAATTAAATCATTAATATTTCTGTTTCTTTTTACGCATATTAAATGATCATTTCTTTCTTGCCATGCATCAATATCATTAGGTGCCTTCGCACTCAATATTAATGCCTTAACGCCTGGCAAGAAAGAAATGATCATTTCGATTTTTTTTTTCTTCTTTTTTCCTAAATTCTGTCTTCAAGTTTGCGTCATTTCGTGTGTCGTTTCGATTTTCCTAAAATTTGTCTTCCAGTTTGAAGGTGAATCATGCAAATGAATTTTACAAAATTTTACAAAAAAATAGAAGCTTTTTACAATTAATGTTTGACCTATTATTATCATTAATTTATTTGTCATTATCACATTCTAAAAATTATGCGTAAGCACAATGGCTATTCATAATTATATCCATTGTGAAGTACTATTTGAAATACATTCAAACTATAATAAAAATTTCTTCCATAGCAAACATAAAATTCCGCCATTGTGCTGTTAAATAAAAAAATGTTACAGTGAATAATATTTCGACATTATTCAGATCAGACCATCATTATCTTACCACTGTTTTTTTTTTTTTTTATTAAAATCCCGCAGGTAAGTGCTCACAAAAAATGACAACCAAATTTAATCAGTAACAACTTTTAGCACAATCACTACCATTATCATTATCATTATTCAATAAAGACAGCGAGTAGTATTATTACTTACATCATTATCTTCTTTCGAAAGATCAACATCATCTTAGTGATGTGATAAATTCATTATCAAATAATATTGTCACATTATTATACGGCTTTTTTCGCTAAAACGACCTACGGAAAAAAGCTGCAGATCTGGGAAGATATCTCGGAGTTCCTGGACAAGAAACATTTTGGTATTACTAACACACAATGCTGCTTCAGCTCTCTGTCTCCGCTTGATACAGCTAAAATTAACCATCAACATTCTCGTGCTCTTCAGGTTTGATCTCACTTTTTCTAGTGGTAAATGTAATATGAAATGCTGGGATTTCAACTTGAGAGTCAATGATTGCAAGGGGAAGGAAAGAAAAGATAAACAAAATGATAGAGGTACTTGGTGGAATAACAAAAGTTGAAAAGACTCTCAAGTCTCAAAATGATCGAAATGATAGGTTAACAAGGAATAATTCCGAGGATGGTAATCTTTTTAAGAACTTTACATATCTGCTAAGGAAATACCATGTTTAGTATTAACCCCTGGGTTAAAATCCAAATAAGTAGTTGGATTGATATCAAAGTCATATCCAATCCTTCTGATAATGCAAACGAACCTTTTAGCAATAATAATATTGAAAGTAATGATAGCATATAAATAGCTTAAAAGAAGTTTTCATTTTGTAAGATTCCCAAAATGCTACAACTGATTTTTACAATTATGAATATTTGCATTAATGAATCTTCAACATCTTCATAAGTTCAAAGAAGCAAAAATAAAATTTCCACAAAAATATAGTAAATCATTATTTTAGGTTCGTAGCAAAGATCGAACGTTATGTGATCCACCAATTGTTCTCAGTTTACCTCCAATACCGAAAAAACAGGAAATGAAATATGAAACGATCGATGATGATCAAGTATTAAATCATCGAAGAGAAGAAACTTCTGAAATTCTCCCCTATCCATCATTGCCTTCTTTGCCTGTCTCATTTTCATCTTCTTCTGAAGCTGTAGATAGATTAATCAGAGAGGAAATAGAAAATCATCCTATCAATCAATTATCCACAACTACATCACACAAAATTCGTACAATAACCACTCCAACCATATCACAACTAGCAAGGTAGATAAAAATATAATCAGACGAATGTTGCTTTGAAATAAAATTTAAACAGACACTCAATCTGAATGTGAAATAAATGGATGAAATTCGTTGCAGGTTATTTAAAAGTACCTCAGCAAAAGAGAAACGAAAAATACATGGACGACAATCATTGAGAAAGAATTATTCCATTCATGAATGCGTTCATCCTGGATGCTCTAAGAAATATAGTAAAAGTTCTCATTTAAAAGCTCACATGAGGATACATAGTGGTGAGAGACCATATCGTTGTAGTTGGCCATCATGCTTATGGAAGTTCGCAAGAAGTGATGAACTAACAAGGTAATATCTGAATTAGTTTTGTTAATTATTCATTCCGAAATTTTAACGAAATATTTTATTTTAGCGACTTCGTAGTATGTCAGCACTGTTACATCTGCTGATACTATTCATCTGAATATTTGAAATGAAAGTTAATGGATGAACTTGAAGAATTCTGAAGCAGTAAAATACAGTGAACCAGCATTAATTTCGAAATAACTTGCCTTTAGATAACTATTAAATTTTTTATTAGTATGCTTCAGTCGTGATTCTAGTCATTCCTTCTTGAAATATTTCGAAAAACTGTCTCGTTCAATTTTTCCAGACATTATCGAAAGCATACCGGTGATCGTCCATTTAACTGCACTTTATGCTGTCGATCATTCTCACGCAGTGATCATCTCAACTTACATGTGAAACGTCATTATAGCGGTTAGAAGTATATCGTAATTCATGAATTATATGATATTCCAATCTTACATTTAATGCCCAAAGAAATTTATATGATTCCATAAAAGACTTCTGTAAATATACAATTGGAAGAAGAAAGCTACTTCATTTATATTTCAGTATGTTTTAGAATAAAGACTAAAGGAATCATTGCCTTTTACATGTAGATCGACAAAAATTCAAGCACAGAAGCACCGCTGAAGAAAAACAAGTAAAATATATCGAAAGTGAGGAAGTGATTATAAGAGTGTAGGAAAATAGTGATTATAAGATATTATAAGTGATTATAAGATAAAAAATGAAATGATTATAAGATATCAAGATTTCCATATTGAATAAATATTCAAATACTACTCTTGTTTTTTGATTATGGAAATCGAAAAATATGTTCGGAAAATACTACGCCAAATTAATATGAAGAAGATTAGTGTCCGATAAAATATCCAAAAGCTAATCAAGCATTATCAAATTCGAGAGATGAAAGAAAAAGAATAAAATCTTGATTAATCCTGTATGTTACAAACAACATAGCTGCGGAAAAAACAAACAATGAGAGAAATAAAACTGTTGTACAGTCATTATAAGCATTATTTTATCACACCAATCTCTAATCAACTTATAATAATAAAATTTCATACGTACACAAGCATAAATACATACTATTAAGGAGGCGGTATTCTTGGAAAAACCGGTAGTATGGTATTGTTATATTGTGAATTAGTTGGGATAAATGTAATCGATGTCTGTAATTCCAAATTATTTACTAACTGAACCGTACGTGGATCACAACGCGGAGCTATTGAATCCGACGCAAGCGAACGGCTCGATGTCCTTAAATAAGAGTTTGCATTTTATATTATACAGCTCTGGTATAAATATGTTAACAAATCAAAAATATCGCAAGATGTACTACTTTTTTCGTTAAAAAATAAACTTTAGCCAAGTGTCAAAAGATTCCAAAAATGGACATCGTAAAAATCTTTTCAAACATAAAATGAGAAATTACTGAACTTGCAAAAATTCGTATAGATATGAGTGATTTCATTCTGTTTAGCACCGAAATTTTAAAACCCTTTTTTACGAAAAATTTCAAAGCCCGAAAGCTGAAAGCAATTTCGTTGCTCTATTTTATGCAATTTCATTAGTTTTAATAGTATTGATACAAACATAATTCTGAATTATTGATTTATAATACCCTGAGTTCTTCATCATCAATTGTCGAGTTCTATTCAGTTCTTCCAACAGCTTCCGATTATTATCTTCTAAAATAAAAAATTTTAAACACAACTATTTTAACTCCAAATCAAAAAAAAAAACCTAGAAACTGATTTTTATTCCATTATTAACGATTTGTCTATCTGCTTATTAGTTCAGAATACCAAGACACGATAAAATTCGGAATTTATCAATTAAGAACAGATAATCGTGTGGTATATTACGGTCCTCCATATTTCATGTGATATATATTACGGTCATTTCATCTATTTAACCGAAAAAAATGTTACTTTATTTTTTTGAAAAGTGCCATATCTCATAAGTAACGTTCCTTCTTACAGTCATAACTTTTAGCTAGCTCTTTTTTTAAAAGAAAAATCCATTATCGAAGCATAATAAATCCCGAACTTCAGATTTTTATCAACTATTTGACGACAAACTGTAGAATACAGAATCTATTTCAAGCAAATATGCCTAATAGCAAATATGCTACTTATTAAAAGTCTCTATTTCAAATTTAGCAGTGGAGAAATAGAAGAGCTACCACCAGAAAAAACTGAAAACAGCACAAGTCCATATGACATCAAAAATAGAATGAAACATGAGAAATTGTACCTTGTTTGGAAGAGGCCATAATTTGAGTAGAAATAAACGTTGCACCATATAAATAATTTAAAATCTGAAAAAAATACCATAAGTTTTTCTGATATCTTCTCATAACAATTATTAACTGATAAAATTTACGACGAGAGAAGAAACTAAAAAATAATTGCTCGTATTCGCAAAATTCGTACCGCTGAAATCCACGACATAATAGTTCCATTTTTTGATGTCTCTAATCGGCATAAAATCAGATATTACATTATTTGACGAGGTTACAATCACGCACACACATACATTGACATATCGTTACGAAACATAATATTAATAAAACAATCAAACCAACAGCATGCGGAGGTATCATTTGTTCGTTTTCATTGATAGTAGTATATTTGTAATATGATTAATGAGGTGAACGAGATATGTACATAAACGTGATGTAGAAACAAAACAAAACAAGAAAAAAAAAACGTGTAAATCAGCAAACGTATAAAAGTATTTGCAACAATAACTTCAATTCTTTTTAACATTCCATATCTATAACAGAGCATATAATAAAAGTAGATAAAATACTTAAAAATTAAAAATGACATAATGAAGAAAAATTATTGCATGCATACACGGAAAACACGTAAAAACCAATCCCCTTCCCCTCACTCACGTTTAACAGATCCTACAACATTCACCGTGAAAATTGCTACAATTTAAATTTCCGCTTTACCATACCACAAAATTTTTTTCTTACATGGAATTTGAGAATGATCGGATCGATGTGTTGTAGCGGAAAAATTTTCTGGTGAAAAGTAATTGAGCTCTGAGGAGAGGTTTAGGCTAGGCGAAGGGAGAGGGAGAGCTACCGGTGAAGATGAGTGCGGGGGAGGGGTGGTATTGAGGTGAAAGATGAATGGCAGCTGTAGTATAGTATTGGATTAGATTAAGTAATGATAGAATGTTAGTGTGTTACAAGTATGGCCTAAATACTGAAACTAATTATAAGTTGTCATAACTGCTCGTGAGAGTTACTTCTCGTATATCTTTTACATCCATAAAGTTTTATTATACATTTCCGATGGTCAATTAAGAAACATGTTTTCTTTCTCACTGGCATTGTAAAGTAAGAATACCGTAGCAATGAGACAGTGGGTTAAATCTAATTTAATAATGATGTCACTTGAATTTAGCATGAAGCTGTCGAATGACAGTATTCAATTGTGATCTTTCATGATAGCTATTTGTGTTACATATGGCACGGAAAACGTTTATGTTTGCGTTTATAACTGTCTAGTTTTTAGACTTATACATCAGTTGTTATACTGTTTAAGACATGTGGACGTGTAAGATATTTCGAATAGTATTTATTCGGTGAAATTATAAAATATATCTATATCCAGTGTTTTTTAGTTTTGAACTGTCAAAAGCAGCAGGAATGATGAGAATGAGCAAGTTCGCATCACAATAGATATATATACATAGATATATCCGTAGCAAAACTATTGTGTTTGCGCGGCTTGTGGAATATCTTCAATCCAAAAGTGGGAAAAAGAAAAGACGGTAAAGAAGTGATTTTAAAAGATAAAATAGAAGTATGGTTGAATACGGTGTAAACGTCACGAACAAATTTGGTTTTTTATCAGATGACGGTAAGTATTAGAAGGTTTTATGTAAGTAAGGTGTGCAGTGACATTCATAATATATGGAAAAAGTTGATATTCTCATTATGTACTGTGCTACTTACAACATACTTTTTTCTAGAGTTTTTTTTTTCTTTCCAACATTTTTCAACTGATATCACTGAATTAAAATCATAACTCTTGTTTTGTTTGTTATAAACATGTTGTAACAAAGTTGTCCAGTAGAAATTTTTTTTGGAGTGCATAAGAGTAAATGTAATTATTAGCAAGTTTTTGGTTATTTGTTGTTTCGGTAGAAGCAACAATTGCATTTTGTACTATTATAAGAAGTAAGTTATGATATATTGCAGAAGTAGACGATCCGGAGGTAATATTCAGGAAGGCGGAAGCTTTGAGTAAAAAAGAGGAGAAAAGCGCAAGCCAGAAAAAAGCTGATAAAAATGCCGCAGCGAGGAAGAAGAAAGAAATTACTTCAGCAGCAGTAATAACAGCTGTAGCAAAGGAAGTGGAAGCAAAAAAACCGCAGCTATCGGTTGGTGGTGGAGTGAAGAAGAATGACTGTAAGCAAAATACTGAAAATTTTTCAATTATGATTTTTATAGCTGTTGAAAATTGAACGGATGAGTAGATGGGTTTCGGATGATGATTAAAAGAATTGTGGAAGACAATGACTTGTCATCTTTTTACATATAAAATCTTTAAGGTTTGATTAGATTGTTATTTGTGTGATTTTTTTTTTCTTACTTTAGTCAGCAAAGAGAACAAGGAAAACCGTCCAGATGGAGAGCGTGGTCGTGGAAAGGGAAGGGGTCGTGGTGGTATTGGTCGTGGCCGAGGCTTTATTCAGCAGTTTGACAATATACGCCCAGCATTTGATCAGGTTTACTGAATAGATTTGAAGAAAATGTCATGTTAGTTGGGGTCGTTTATAAACAATTTTGCATCCCAAATCGATTGATTCCCTAAACGCTCGATTGTTACGCTAATTTTTTAACCGTTATTATCTTTCATATCTTTTAGTCATCTGTCAGGAAAGAATATTTTGTTGTGATCCAAAGTAAAATTGTAAGACTAAAAACACTACAGTTTAAGAAATAGACTTACAACAAAAAAAGATTACATGGAATGATGAAGTGTTTGCTATAATGAGTACATCTATTAGTGTTTCCATATTTTATCTAATTTGATTTAATCATCATACTATTTAGAATGGTGAGCGTGATGTAATGGCTGAAAGGTTCGGCGAGGGAAGAGGACGAGGACGTGGTCGTGGAAACAGGAACCGACCACCTTTGTAAGTTGTCAAAAACATAGTTGCTGGAGATAACCTAAAGCTTTATGATTAGTCTTTTTAGTCTTTATTTAACACAATTATCTGTGTTACACTTATGTGAGAATGAGATTCTTTGGATTTATTTTTTCCAACGAAGTTTCCATATAAACGAATCGAAGAGTTTTCTGCAAAATTAGAACCAGGTTGAGTTAATTTCAGCCGAGGTGGACGGGGTGGTGTGCGGAATTTTGATGGAGATCAGGATCAC